TCACAAACACAAATATATACTTATTTATCAAGATGATAATAATTAATGATAGTGATAATAGAATTCTTCCGAAAATGGCAACACAGAGGTAGAATAAATAAAGGTATTAAAACATTATCTTAATTCAGGGAGTACCGCGTGTGAGAACGTGGATGTACACTATTGAAGAGTCCCATACTAGGTTGAAATGGCTGGCAAGTGCCTTCAGGTCTTCAATGGTGGTATAACTTAGATCAACTCATGGATTCAATTGTTGAAATTACTACGATCTCCGCAAGTTCATATTCTGATAATGGTTTTATTGTTAAGGGCCTAAATATTCATCGTAAAGATAGATAAGAAAATTATCATTGGGAAACGATGGCTCAGCATGATAAGATTAAATGTTGAAATTGAGATGAACTGTAATCAGGAGGATCATAGAAACAGATATGAACCAGTTGGGGTTAGTAGGTTTATAGAGAAGATAGAAGGGTAAGCAGATGTATGTGAGGGAAACAGTGTGAAGAAGAAAGAAAATCATGACACACTAAGACGATGGTATAATATGAGGTTGTACCAATTGCTTTTGGTCACATAATTCTGGTTTTTCCAGATGTATAGCTATTGCTTCGGGAATGTTAAAAATATATATGTAGAGGAAACCCTTATGGAGTGGCCAAATATCAAGTTTCCACAGCTGGGTTCCCATTAGTCGAAAGTGAATACAAATAATTTGTAGTCCCGAGGTCATAGATAACGAACTGAGCTTCCTGAAGAAAATACTTATCGAAGACAATTATCCAACCCAAACCGCCCAAGGCACAAACAATCTCGGTTGAAAAGAAAATATTTTACATAAACATCGATTTTAAAGGTGATAGTTACAGACGTTCGATTGCCTGAAAAAGACTTTCTTTGCAGCAACTTTGTGAAGAGGTTTCCAGTCGCGCAATGTTCATCAATAATCTTAAGGATAAATGATCTCATCTGACCTATAACTCAGGAAATGATAAAACTAGAAACATCACTTGATACATTGGATTATGTTCGGATACGTGTCCTTGAAAATACAGTTGGTTGAAATCCAACTGACTAACTTACTACATTATTAAATTAAGAATTAAAGTAGGATTTATATGGGAAATGATGTTCTCAATATTGTGTGTGACTAAAATGTGAAATTTAGCTCTTGGATTACGTGAACGCACTTATATTCTGTCACAAGAACTTTAGAGTGCGGATACCATTTGTGACAGTTGCAGATTTGAAACAGAGTCGACGTCCAAGCTGTAAAGTATTTATTTGAATACTAGGATTACGATTTTATCTCTTATTCTTTTCTGTGTATGAGAAAAACTTTGGTAAACAAAGCTATGAAAGTTGTTATTAGAGTTAGCAGTGCACTCTTTATAATGAGCATAGATAAGGTTATGAACAAAGATTTGTGCAAATATTAGCCGTTTTTCTGTACGGGTAAATTTACCATTAATAACCTACAGCAGAGAAAAGAGCAGAATTCAATTTATACTTACGTATAAAGCGTTCTCAAATCTGTTGATATTTTGTAATGACGATTTTCCATTAAAATGACCAATTTTTGTAGTATACATTATTGAGAATAAGTGTGGAAGTGGAATAATTTGCTTTAAAATTAATGTGATTATGTCGTTACTAAGTGATGATATTGTTTTAATGTGCGGTGATACCAAAGCCATACAATTCGCAATTAGTGCCCGTAGGTATCTTACGTGTTTTGCACCTTCGAAGTACAAAGTACTTTTATAAGACTGGCAGGACCCTGGGTAATGAGCAGGTAGTGGTTGGGATGTTTTCGCATCTCTGTTGCTGCGTAAGTACTGGTGTTGGCGCGAGTGATGAGATCATTACACGTATAGTGAAAGCCAGAGCAGCTTATGTCAATCTAGGCCATCTTTGGAACCTTCGTGATGTTAGTCTGGCTGTAAAAGGTGGGATCTACAACGCGTCGGTGAGAGCAGTTTTGCTCTATGCTTGTGAAACCTGGGCTCTTCGAGTTGAGGATGTTAGATGACTATCTGTGTTCGATCGTCGCTCTCTCCGAAGGATTGATGGCATCCAGTGGCAAAACCATGTTATTGATGCACAGGTTCGGCATCGTGTGTTCGGGCACAGAGACGATACTTCATCTAGTGACACAATCTTGAGACATCGACATCGGTGGCTTGAACATGTTCTACGAATGTCGTCCCAGAGAATTCCACGTACTGCATTATTTGCCGACGCTGCGACTGGTTGGAAAAGGCGGAGAGGTGGTCAGTGTATGACATGGTGTCGTGGCATGAAATAAAGCTGTTCAGGACTTGCTTTTGTTGGTCCCTGGTTCAGGTCCTAGAGATGTTGCAATACAGTGACTTGGGACGTTATCAGATATGGCTCAGAATAGAAGTCAGTGACAGTCCTGCTATAACTCTCTTCATAAAAAATGGACGTAACTACCTTAAGGAGAAGAATACTTCCTGGTTGTAAATTTGCATCTCCCGTTATTACTAATTTACTCTTATACACTAATTTCTGTTCGTTATTGTTTGCCTTTTTCTTATATTCACTTTACATTCTCATAATTATTGTGTGATGCCCTTTGTACCAATGACGAATAATTAATGTAGAATGAGATGAATACTTCTAAAAGTATACTTTGACTTGATCTTCAAGTAGATGATTTGTAGAAAAACCAGTATTTCTTGAGTTCTATACCCCATTATCCGAAGTTACGTACAGCCTCTACTATTCAATACCTAATTGCGTTAATTTTAGAAATTATAAGTGATATGATATTTTTAATCAACGGCAGTGGGAATGTGATTTAGCTGACAGTCAAGGCTCGTATACTGGGAGAAAAAAGTCAGAAATTTAAAGGATTTGAATAATTTGCCTGATAAGCATCGTGAAGGAACATAGGTGGCCCCAGCATTCTCCATCATTGGAGATCCTTTTGGTGTCTGCTCCCAATGCTCGACGCAATGTGTTTTTTGATCTTCCTCTTTCTGTTTCCCTCACCGATTCCAAGTTAGCAACTGCTAAGTGACACAGTTTGATGACTTTCACAATGTGTCCTATCCACCTCCATCGTCTTTTCCTAATGTCCTCTTCAACTGGAAGCTGGTTTGTTCTCTGCCACAGTGGATTGTTGCTGGCGGTATCCGATCAACGGACATTGAGTATCTTGTGTAGACAAATGTGTATGAATAGGTGTGCTTCTTGATGATGGTTGTAGTAGTTTTCCAAGTTTCAACTCCGTACAGTAGAACTCTCTCGACGTTCGTATTGGAAATTCTGAATTCGACATTGGCTTGTATTCAGTCGTTTTGCGTTCCATATGTTATTCAATTGTAGAAATGCTGTCCTTACTTTGCCGATTCTTGCAATTACATCTGCATCTGATGGTGTCCAGGTACGTGAAGACTTGCATACCTTCCACATTTTCTGCATCAAGTGCGACTGCGTTGGTGTTCTCCTTGAGGATCCTTCTCTTTCCCTTGTGTATTTTGAGATTTACTGTTGCAAAGGTGGACACTACACTGTTTGTCTTCACCTGCATTTGTTGGCGTGTATGTGATAGAAGGGTCAGGTCATTTATGAAGTGTAAATTATCTAGTTGCACGTAATCCGTCCATGCTTCCCCTCAGATTTGGAGGCCTTCATGATCCAGTCAACCACCAGAAGAGAGTTAGCAACATTATCTAACTCCGATTGTCACTTGGGATACATCTGTCAGTTGTTCCCCATACACCACTTTGCACTGTAGTTCGTCGTATAAATTCCGGATGATGTCGACAATCTTCTCACCTACTCATTCCAGTGTCGAAGAAGTCTCCACAATGTTCTTCTATTTACACTGTCAATGAAGTTAATGTATAGTGACAAGTTCCACTCAAATGACTGTTCGACGATGATACGTAGTGTCACGATTTAGTCGGTACACGACCAATGCTATGGAATCCAATTTATTAATATCGATGTCGGGCGTCTACTGAATCATTCATTCGGTGCAACAACACTCTGAAAACGTTTCCTAGTGATGATAGTAGCGTGATGCCTCTATGGTTCCCACGCTTGCTCAGATTTTCTTTCGTTGGTATTTTGATGAGATATCCTTGTTTCCAGTCCGTTGGCACTTGTTACTCCTCCCAAATTTCCTGATCACAACGTGGAGTATGTTTGCAGTTCTGTGTATGACTTCAGTGCTTAAGCTGGTATATTGTCAGGTCCTTCTGCTTCCCCATTCTTGATTTGTCTGATGGTCATGCTGATTTCTTCGACTGTTTGTGAAGTGACAGCTATGGGAAGGTTTGTGTGTGCTACTTCGATGTCCGGTGGGTTCAGTGGAGCTGACCTATTCGAGAGTCCCTCAAAGTGTTCTTGAATCTGAGAGATTGGCTTGCTCTCATTTTCCTTGACTGGTCTACAGTATTTCCATGTTAGTTTCTTGTCATATAGTTGTCTCATAATATCATTTATCTACATATTAAATTTCAACTATCAGAGTACTTCGTCAGGATTTGCAAGAATTTAAAGAGTTAACTTATTATTATGTACGAACTAACATTGCTGTTCAGTAGGTTAGATTTCTATGAATCCTATAATGTTTTACTTAAGGACACAGATATGGGAAACTCAATGGTTCTTATAATGCTTTGAAATGAACAAGATTATTTGACGTAATTGCCACATTTAAATCTCTTCAAGATATGTGACAGATCGCTGGAAATGGGTGGAAACTTTTATGATCTGTATCACAGTTAAACTATTATATGTGAGAAAATTTTATGACTAAATTTTCGAATTACTGATGTTTTAAATAAATCGGAATATGGTCGATTAAGTAAATTTCAGAGGCTGATGGTTCATTACATTATTAACTCTAATATGGAATATGCACAGCAACTCTAGAGATTTGAAGCTTCTGCAACATCGAACTTTTCTTCTGAGTTCATGAATGCTTCCGGTCACCTTAATTATTTGTTATCAAAATGTTATTTGGAAATTCGAAGTTATATTTATTCACAGTTACGATAGAATCATATTCATTTCACGTCTACCTATATAAAACAATAATTACTACAGCAATAAAGATTAATAATTTGTAGCAAATGATGTGTATTGTATAAATAACGAGTATGATCAAATAAATGTTTACTCTATATATTAAATTATTAAGTATTTAAATTTTAAAAGTTATTACGAAGTAATAACAATTACTGAACGAAATGAAAACAATGGTATATATGGTAAATGTTTATGATGATGATAATTATAATAATTGTTAGTTCATAATTACGTGAGAACAGTTATGATAAAGGGTGGACATCTTGGACATAGAGATCAAAGTATAATCTGATTGAATCTTGAGAATGGTAAATGGGTTACGATCTCCAGTCGATATAGTTATCATTGCATGGAATGACAAAGGAAATACTAAAGAGCACACGAACAAACAAATCCTGGAGCACTTATCAGCAAACAGAACCGTTATAATACGAAGTAAAAGGATGAACCAATTCACAATAAACAATCAATGAGGTGTTCTTCTAGATCAGCTCGGGATGCAAACATTTGATGACATCCAGGACACCACGGTTGTTCCTAAAAGATAGAAATAAGGTTTCAGAAAAGCAGAGTATCGTCTTAAGAGAATAATGAAATAGATTGACCGGATATAAACTTGTCGCGTATAAGGCAACATCCATCATCAATTTATATCGTTAATAACAGATGTCACCCAATGAGATGTATAGCCATAACTTTGCACACAAAACTATATGGTCTGAGAAATTGTATAAAGCAGTTGATTAATAACTTTAGGAAAAGTGAACCCCAGAAAACCAGTCTAGTTTCATGCGTAGATGTGAATGTATAGATCAAATATTTACAGTTTAGTAGGTCCGGAATTACATGTATACTTAATGATGGGCAACTATAGTTATACTTACTCGCCTGAAGAATGGATCGACAGGTTTTATACCAGTGTCTGTTACTGGAAGATGTACCAAACAACTATAGTCTTTCAAGACTGTAATCCAACAGTAACAACTACGCTGAAGATTATAGTGAACTGTTGTGAAAACGGGCCACATCGCGTGGTGATTTGTCAGGACTAGTTACTTTTCTCCTAGTATTTTACCACAGAGGTGAATTTCGAGAAAACGTTTACGTTGTGTGACTTTTTAAGAATCGATTTCACACCTTCACATTTACGTGTTGACTAGGTGAACATAGATAGAATAGTCCTGTTTGGTGTAACAGCTGATAAGTTTTCTACACCCATTGAGCCAATGGAAAAACGTTTATTCTCCTCTAAAATAGTTGCTTTCAGATTAGTCTGTGTCAATGTTTAGTACAACCAAAGAAAGTGAAGCAGTCGAGGGTAAATGGTGAAATATGGACACATTCAACACTTTTAGAAAATATGCAATATAATAAGAATAAAAATAAATTGAGTGACATTTGGCATTAACATACAGAGTTACTAGAATGGGTGAGTCTCACACTAAAGATAAATGTCAAAATGCTATCTTTTTTAGTAATAATCTGTATTTTGTTAATAAAAGCATGATATGAAAACTGTACTGAAGAAACAACCCATTATAAATGAGCGCCAAACGAAACTTACCTCATCAACTGAATAACTTGGAACAGATGGCCTCTCCATAGGTTTGTTGAACGACTGCTCACAAGGATTGAGACCCAGTTCGGTTAACCATGACCCATAATTGGAACGATTGTCTTGATTCTCCGTCAATTGCTGTATTTGGCGGCGAACAAAGCCACCAACATAGGATAAAAATGAGGGCATCAATGTTTTAGGTTCAGAAGGGATTCCGCCATTTTCAGATAACTAACAAGTAAAAATTTAGTGTACCAAGGTTTCAGTACACACATTTACGGGGGCGGTCTACAGTATTGTTGGTTAAACAACCTTGTTACATAAAGTAGAAGCTTATATATATATCACATCAATATTTTACAAGGATCAAATGAGGAAGCTGTAAATAACCTTTATTTATTCAAGTGATGAATTGTGCTGGTTTATTTCCTAAGTTAAAAGTACCAAACAAAGCAGTCTCGATAGCTATAGTGAAATTAGAATTCTCATCTAACTCTAATTTAGCAGCTTGTGACATTTAGTAACATTAGGAGGATAACTTGACCATAATATACTAAACACGTTATCAAAATACGACATAAAGTTTTTTTGGGTCCGCGTGACTATCGTAACCAATGGTTGGAGCTCTTGGTGACATTGCTCAGAACCGATCACAATGGCGTTGGTGTATACAGTCTGTCTTCACTTAGACAGTGAAATTAAAATTGCTTTATATCTTTCTATCAGTTAATCCTTCCTTCCTGTACTACATGCTTATACACAATCTTTCTTTTATATATTACTACAACTGAAGTAACTGTTTCTCTGAATATGGTGTTCATCTTGTTGTGCTAATGAGGTGTGGTAACTTGGACCGATGCATATATATATGCCTGGTCCTACGTTTTAGCTGATTGGCTGATCTGAAAATTAATTTTCTCCGAACAATTGCATTGATTAAGAGATACCAAGCTGCTGTAAATGTCATTCCTGAATCTACACAGATACAACAATGTTACAACTCACGTTTGATGGAACTTCTATAAAAATATTTCCACTTTTTAATGCTAGACAACTGTTGAACAAAAAATATTGAGGAAACATTTACCTCTGAACTGTTGTCAGGAGCAGATGGAGTTGAATTAAATTCATTGATGTTGGAAATTTCTGTAACTTCTTCACCAGCTGTCAATGGAGGGGGTACATGTTTACTTGAGACACCATTAAAAGAAAGATGTGGCCAAAGATTTAAAATACTTGGTGCACTTGGAACATTATGTGTTACAGAAGTTTCTGGTTGAGTAGGTGGTGTGTTAGCTACTGGAGCTAAGAGTTTATCATCTGACAGTGATGCCACTGAAGTTGTTGTGCTAGGTGTTGAAAAATCTTGATTCCTTTCACTTAAGATACGTAAGACTTCTTCACGAACAAGTTCCTTCAAATCAATATTTCTCATTAGTGAAGCCTATAAAAACAAAGATAATTAGAAACCAGTAAGCTTATTAGTTAAAAAAGGTATGGCTTCAGTTTATGAGTAACACCATGTAATTGCACGACAGATTTGGAAGACTCAAAGATAAGCAAGTTATTTTTGTAGTATAATCATCCTGTTTTATGTATGAAATTTAGTGATGTGTCATTGCACAAAGAGGTCCAAAGTAGAAATAAACTAATTCACTACCTATTTTCGAAATAACCAACGACAAAGAGCAACATTGTTTCAATTCTTTAATCAGATTTGCCAAAGGTTTGGAAAATAATCAAAAGTGTTAGTTATTTAGGTCAGTACTGATAGTTTTTAAAGCACAACACTGAAATAAAAAAATAACAAAACGGAGTACGAGTAGAATTAATTTTGTTTGCTACTACATTCTAGTGAAAATCGTATTATCGATCAAGCCAATAATGCAAACCGAATATTTAGCAATTTAAAGAATGTTGGACATTTATATTTGTGTGAATAGATGCTTATAGCACATGACTTGAACTCAGTGTAACATCCCGTGACATCAGTTCTCGTTTCCAATGGGACATTATTTTTATTTTCAATGGAACATTTTTGTTCAGTATGACAGGTGTGAACTTTGTTTTACTGTAAACTTATGTATTTTTACATTTATATGACGTTTATTAACTAATCAAATTTATTTAAAATCAGTATATAGATGATTGTATTTGTTCTAACCTCTTCAAGTTTTTTTTAGTTAATCTTGATTGCATTAGTATTTCGTGTTCTTACTTCGCGTTGTCGAAATAGTGACTCCCGTTTTAAAGCATAAGCAATATGGCCGCGAATATAACATGAATCAATGTAATGCAATCACTAAGTAGATAGTTATGCGCTAAGCTGAAACAATCTTCGTAACAGAGTTAACAATACCTACTACTCAACTAAATGAAGGTTTGATCCTGGAAGCTATTGGTTGAAGACCAAGTGCTCAGTGATCAACTAAGCTACTGCATATTGAGTGTCAAGCTACTGTCTAGCTCGATATCGACAAAGTAGGTCAGAGTCAGAAAAAAACTAAATGCAACCAGTTCAAAACAGTACGAATTCATGAAGTCAACTATTGGTTTGGGTCCTGTAGAAGTACAAAGTCCTAAATGATATCCTCTGAGAGGCAAAAATGTATACTAGGGGACCCTAGTCAATGATATAATTAGATGATAACTATTAAAAAAAATCAAATATAACCTATAAACCATAAAACAATTTATTCAGCAAAGGAATCCTTTTTAACGAGTTCATTTTCAAAGATGTACAATCGTACACATACGTGATAGACTACAGGTCAACGAGTAATAATATGTCTGTTAGAATTTAATTAGTTCTATGAAATTCGACCACATCACTGTAAATAAACAGATAGTTATTCAAGGAAAACTTTACGAAAAATGTAGATTACGTAGTCAATAAGGTGATAAGTGTGGTTGAAATGAAAGTATGTGAACGGTAATCAAAAAATCTGGATTAATAATAATAAATCAGAGTAAAGTAGAATCTTCATACACATAGTTCCCTTTATTATCTTAAATAGAGCAAGAACAAAGATTGGTGCAGAATAATATGAATTCATTTTATTTCGTTAGGTTCTCATCAGCTTTATTTGAAATTCAAATTATTACAGATATTGACATATTTATACATAAGAGTGTGATGAAGGATCAATACATGTGTATGATGATGTAGCAAAGATTCAGATAGAGTTAATGAGCTCATAAAATGTTTGATTCGAATAAATAAATAAAGTTAAAGAGGGAAAGTTCTGGAACATTGAAATAGTGGTTAGAACTCATGAAAATAGATTAATGGTAATAAAGAAAATATGAATTGAAATCAATCATTTATGTATGATGTAATTTAAACTTCAGAAAGAGTTGGGATAATGACGCAATAAATAAATAAATAGGAGCAAATGAATAGAAAGGGTGGGGGTTATTGTTACCAGGGTAAAGAACAATTTATTACTGTCTCTTTTTGTATACATAGATCTGGTTTTAAACGTTTGATTGCTAACGATTCAGCGAATTTCAAAAGGTTGGAGTTTGATTGTTTGTTAATCACCTTGAAGGACTTCAGTATATCAACTTCATGTCCTGTATCAAGGAGATGTCTTGCGATAACTGTTGAATGCGTTCAATCCATTCAACCTTAAACTTTTTGGAATATGTTCTTTGAATCGGACGTAGGCTCTCCTTTCTGTTCTACCAAGGTAACTGCTTTGGCAGGTACATGTAAATTTGTATACACAGTTGGTGGTAACATGAAAGGGATACCTGTCGACCTTTGATGTGTCAAAGAACATGTTGTTTTGAACAGGACAATCAATTTCGCTGCAGGATAACTTCTTGTCAGTGCAGTTTTTAGTCACATATTGATTGATCCTGTGACATCGTCACCTTTGAATTGAAGTTGAATGAAATAGGCTTTTTATTTGCTGTAATTTCTTTCGGTTTTTTATCTTCACATTTGCCGTATTTCTTAATAAATTTCAGTGGGTATCCGTTATTCTTTAAACATTTTTTAACATTCATAACTTCCTCTTCTAGTGTGTCGGAAGTACATATTCTTTCTGTTCTGTGAAAGTGTTTTGACCACTGCTTTTTTGTAACTGATTGGACGTTGAACTGTAACATCCCTTCTTCTTTTCATCGCGATATCGAGAAAATGGAAATTGTTTTCTTTTTCATGGATATTCGGATGTGCTTCGTTGAAAAACTCTAGCAGATTTATTGCATGCTAATATCTGTAATAATTTGAATTTTATTTAGTAGAGTTATGACGCCTCATGGTGAAAGACAAGTTCCTTAGGAAGCCACGAGGTTGATGCCCTTCTGACAACCAGAGCAACAATTTATGTAAGTACATGGAATACTCGTACAATGTGGGAGACCGAGAGTCTTCCAAATTACTGCAGAAATTAGCCAATACAATATGGAAGTGCTCGGAATCAGTGAATCACATTGGATGCAGGTTGGACAGCAAACACTAGTTTCAGGGGAGCTTCGGTTATATATATATATATATATATATATATATATATATATATATATACGTTTTCCTAATAGTTTTAGACAGCTTTTTAGTAAATACGGCAATATCTACCCCAAAGTGGAGGTTTACAAGGTGAAATGTAAATTTAAGGTGTACATCAGAACAAGATCTTTAACATACAAATGAAACATACGGTTTCCATCAACAGTGCGTCCATAAATAATGAATTAATGTCAAATGAAATCATAATCCTATTCGAAACGTTTACACTACTTACAAAACTGACAATCTTAAACGTATCATTCAGAGAATAGTTGCAAACATCTATTCGAATTAGTTCAAGAACGTGAGTTATTCACTTTGCAACATAATGGTACAATGATCCAGTTATGTAGAGAATAAGACGAAAGGGTATGTACCTTAGGTAAATTAATATAGTCTGGGGTATGATAGGACCTGGTTTTCTTATTCTGAATTGGTCAGATGTTCTTAAAGGATATTTTGTTCAAACGCTTGAGAATATCTGTAAGCTGCCTCTGGATTGTTTTATTTTCTTTATCTAACTTTGAAAGATTACTATCATCAGATAATAAGTTTTTGATTTTATCTATGTAGTTTACCCAATCCAGTAGCACTATTTCTGTTCCTTTCTCTGGACGCGCTAATAAGGTTCTTCACTGACCTAAAATTTGTTACATGTAATTAGGATTGTGGAGCTTCAGAATAAACTCATAAAAGATAACCTTGCTGGATAAATTGTTTTATTATATATAAAATATATCATACCTGATCAATCGCCTCTTTTGTAAGGTTAGTATAGGCTGGAGTTTCGTGGTTTGGGACATTAGAAGAAACCTGAATTTAGAGAGAAATTGGTTTGAGTGGTAAAAATTAGGAACTCATCAAAATAACAATGATAAAAGATAAATATTTACTTTATGTATACTTCCCATCGAAAAGACAGAAATAATTTTACGACAAAAACACAAATTCAGAAATCCGTATTCTAAGTAAATCTATATACTTGGACCCTTAAATTGAAAGGGAGTGATACGTTCTATTGTGAATTATAGAAATATAATTGAAGCTCAACATATTTGCATTGATACTGTGTAGAAGAATGTACGAGGTAGCTGATACACCTTTTACAACCAAAAGTGTACAATATTTCCAGGCTATTTGAAGAACTTACCATAGATGGCAACGGGATCTCATCTGGTAAACAAGTAACAAACTTTAATGTGTGACTATCCACCTGAATACCATTAGAGTTCATTTTGTTCATGCAGTGTTTATCAGGGGAATTTTGTAGCTTGTTCGCCAAATAAACTTGAGTGTATGTCTCCGAAGTGCTTTTACCGGTTTCTGAAAGTTAACAGAAAAAAGTTACACATCTAAATCCAATCGACAAAGTTCAATCACAAAATGCACTAAAGAAATTCCACAAAATGGATATATTTGACACTCATTATGTTTACGTAATCCATTTCTATACCATAGCTGATAAGTTGATGTGGTGGTCGGGACTGACAATCGTGATGATTAAATCGAGTTATATTAGTTAGAGAAATTGTTCTTTCAGGTCCTACTAAGTCCTGCTATGGCAGATAGGGCGGTTGGAGAATTGTAAACCTATAAGTTTGGAGGTCGAAGCCACACCGCTGACTGCATAGGGGTGCGACACCAGTAAGATGTTCCCCTCAGACAGCTAGCTTCTGTAGTGGTGTTACCCAACGATAGAATAGGCTAGAAAAAGTGAACCCTAAAAGCATAATACCTCATCTTACTACACGTATTTTCGTCTCCGGAAGGCATTTTTAAAGTAAAGAGATAAAGCAGTAGGAAACCTTCAAAAAAGGCCGTGTGTGGTCGGCTTAAGGAGGTTGCTCATTAGGCTATGCAGTTACTCTTCTAGACCAAGGCCAAAATTAATAAAGTTTCCTCTACAGGTATATCAAGTATCCTTCTGCTCTATGGGCATTCAAAAAGTAATGGCCGGCCTTATACCTCTAACAACGTCCGAGATCTTGTTCGTGATCAAATTCCTTTGTCCCTTCCCGATATTTCTACTGCTCCCATGATGCCGTCGCAGTTTGGGAGCCCTCACACCAACCGAATGAGGAAGTGTGGCACATGTATAGTTGGTGACTCCTAGTACCAATGCTTGTGTTTAAATAAAATGTTTCCATGATTGACCCTTGTCCCACGACTTAAAGTCCATGAACCACTAATGTTAACGAATCAGGTTCACCAAATGTTGCTGCGGTTGTGCAATCTTAAGTTACAACTTACGACAAGCGAACCAGTAACTATTACGCTGAAATTCCGTTACAGCAAACTACTCAGTGTGAACAATACTGTTAGGACTTTAATAACCGGTATGGTCGGGAGTGGGGTGGGCCCGCCCTCCCTCTCGAAATGCTCTCACACGGCCACGCGTATACAGCCTCTGCCAGGGAAGCCCTACTCACTTCCTTCTCGTGGCATTACTGTTGTTTACAAAAATGAGAGGATGAAAAGCGAATGTCTGGCGCTTTAACCGGATCCCAAACCAATGGTGCACATAGGGCCTCAGTATCCTGAGGGAACAAGTAGAGTATGAACCAATCGTTGGTCACTGGCTACCACGGGACTGCATCTCACGATGATCCACTGCCTTGTGGGTCAGAGGCTCGGAGTGTGGCCCCCTAAGAAAACCACCTGCTTCGGTCTGCTCACCCGGGCAGTATCACAGCCCACACACAAATATAATAAAAGTGATGGTATTTACTGAAAACTATATTCTCGCTTCGATTTAGTCAAAAAATTATTATTTACTACGTCATTTACTCTTTTATTCTTACCTTTTATATCCTTATTTTTCGACTTATACAACAGCTCACCTATGGTGGAAATTCGACTGTATCTAAACGTTCTGGAGTCAAAAATTGTCCCTGACCAACTCAAAACTGCGTTCTAAACTACATGCTGAACCTTTTGGTGTTCGGACTTTATGTCATGGAGGACAACAAGATACCTTAGATATGACTTCAGAATCCAATGTAATTGATATATACTGCGTCTGAAATATGCGTAAAGGATTAAAGTGGCAACGCACATGATGTTACGTAGTCAGTATTGAAAACGTGTGATTTACCTTCCGTATATTATGGCTCTTGGTCTTGACGGCCAGTTTTGTAGACTTAATGCCGTGAATATAGCATTAGGTTTAAAGAGCTTGAAAAAGGAGCTGAATTACTAGTTTTACCGATCTGTGGACGTGACCGCAGACCCCAAGGAATGACTGCTCACGCAAGGCTTCGCACTTGGAAAGGCCTTACCGCCGAAGGTGTGATACTTTTAGGGTCGACCTTTCATAATTCCTTCCTTTCATCGTGAGGAAGTAATATCACTGCACATGATGGTTGCCTGAGCGGAACAAAAACTTAGCAGCCACGGGCAGGTAATTATAACAAATAATTATGCGGCCCTGTAGCCAACTGAATTAAAAAGTTGGTACAAGTAGCAGTTCAAGTTGCGATCCCACCAAATTGACGGAAATGCAAATGAATGGCTAAAACGAACGTAGAAAAACAATAACGGACAAAAAAAGGATGACACTTCGTGACCTCACATTGTCACATCAACTTTAAAAGTGCTAGACCTACTTTTCATTGCAGCTGCCTCAATGTGCAAGGTCTGAATTCTGTTATGCATAGAATTAAGAAAGTTGCACACATCATCGACTGTACTGTCGTCGCTAAGAAGTGATCCAGTCTCGTCCAAAACAGATTCTTCTTTAGAACTAGAATTAATTTTGAGATGATTTGTACTTAGTACTAAAATGAGAAAACTTACGAGAGCGTTGAGTCAAACTTTTTGATCTCTGTTTCAATCTTCAAAATCGGCTCAATGATGTTCTTCCATTTCTAAAAGAAAGTTCGTTAGAAGTGAAGCTCTGGGAGCTGGTGACATACGCGAGTCTCTGCTTCTGCTTTACGAAGCTGATTATTTAAATCCACTAGCTCTGTCATAACAACTTGCTTCTCTTCATTGACGGCAACTAGTCGTGAACACAGCTGCCTCACGTAGGTCTTTCGCACTTCCTCGGGGCTTACCGACTAGAAAATATGATGTAGGCACAGTCTTACAATATCATCTAGCTGCTTTACTAAGTGTTCAACAGTCGATGAATGATCTGGTGTACTACTTTGCAGGGTTACAGTGATGGCAGTTTGTAATTCATCCTTCAGCAGGATACTCGATTGATTGAGAGTGCCTGACAAAAATAACTGGATAAATTATGTGGTTTACGTATTGTCTGCTTAAATAAATCAACCAGAACATCGAGGCGGGCCACAGCATCACGACGATTATCATTTTCTTCGTTAACAACAACAAATTCCTCGTTTGAATCCATTACGATGCTCAATAAACTGTGTCTGGCGCCTCTGGGCTGTTGATTCCCAACTTGGACGTTCAATTTTTAAGTAATTGAAGTTTAACCTTTAGGATGACCGTATTTGTAAAAACAGTTCATCATAATAATTTATTTCACTTAACACTAAGGTTGTTGAGCTGCTATAGCCGGCCATTTTGCAGTTGAAATATGGTAATAATGTACAATTTTGTTTATCTGCGACAAGCTAGTATAAACTAACTGATTTGTTTTGGTTCCTTTTTATTGTTTATGTGACTTGTCCAGCAGTAACGCGATACTGACAGACACATTAGCTGTCACATGGTGAGCTAGTTGTTCAGCAGATTGCTTTCGGCTAAAGTCACGGGATTCGAATTCAGATATATAGGTTTGTGCACTGATGACAGAAGGCCTAAGTTCACTGTTAGCCCCTTTCTGGCAAGCCTCTGCGAGTGTCTAGTTTAAAAATGGGGACACCACATCTTCTCGAGTCGATTTTTAAACAGGGGCATGCAGCCTGAACGCAGTTTTCGATTTAAGATCTTGCTAAGATTGTGTATACTGCAGTGATCACATTAGTATTTAACTTGGTAAATGTCTAAGTTAAAATCCAAAGGGTTCAGTACCGCTTAGTTATGACCGCGCAATAGTAAAGCGCCGTCTTACAATCGTGACACACGGTTATTCCAAAGTTCATTTACTTTCAGCATTAAAAGTAAGGACCTAGGTGTGGTATTTGAATGAACTAATGATACCTTTGTACTGGTTGAATGCTTGATTTCGAATTCTAAATACAATACATTCGTTTGTGCCTGTGTCTTCTTAATTCAACTGCGTTAATCCTGGAATTCCTAGTTCATACGATAATTAGAATACCATACTAGGACAGAGCCTCACTGTAATCTATTAAATACTAGTTTTTAGGAGGAGTATTTGAAATTTTTTCTCATTTTCTCAATATGAAATACCAAGAAACCATTGTCTCATTTAAGGAGAGGTTCGGCAGAGTAGTCTATTTTTTCGCACCTTATCAAAAGCTTTGCTGAAGTCTACGTGAACAACATCCACTGATTTTCCATTGTCTAGTACCCCTATCCATTGCTCCCTTGCTATAACGAGGTTTGTTATTCTATAAGAACCTTTTGTGAAACCATCTTGTTCACTGTTTAACAAGTTGTTGGTTTCCACAAATATCATTATGTCCGTTTTGATTTTCCCTCCCAGTTTTTTAACTACGACATTAATCAGGCTGGCAGTTCTGTAGTTTTTGGAAGTTGTCTTGATCCCGTTTTATGAGTCGAAGTCCGTAGGGAACACACTCTCACCAAGTGACATATTGAATATCGTATTCAGTGGGACAGCAGTACAAGTCGCGCGCGCTTTTGAAGGTTGTAACTTTTTTTCACGTGGTATTATTTTATTTTCCTATTAGTTTTTCTCTTTAATTTAACACTTAATAGCGATAAATAATTCGTCACTGATAGGGTTCTATCAACTTGACACCTTATTTAGGAACTCAACGTCATAAATTAATCTTGCTAATTCTCACGCTATCTCTATCACCAATTAACGTTAATATATTTACTCTTATCTAATACTGGGTCTGATCCTACCATAAAACTTTACACGTTCACTAAGTTAAATTACAACTATCGCCGTCCACCTAATTAAACTTTGTATTTACATTACTTCCGATAATGTCCAGGCCATCTAAAAAACATATAATCTCTCCTGATGCCTATAGCACCTGCAAAAGATCTAAATCAGTCACTAAAGCGAATAATGTGAAACCTTATAAACACACTGATCAGTCTGCATCCTACTCTGATCTTCCCCCAGCCACACTAAACGTGCACCGTCTACTTGGACAAGACATATCCCTACCTTGCATCTCGCTTGTCGATATAAATAAGAGCAGTCACATACCGTTAGAGTCGACATCATTTGTCAGTCCAAACAAAAACACCACATGTTGTGAGCAGTATTTAGACAGTGCTGTTGACCCCAAACACCCAGCAATCTCACAATCGGCCATCCTGAGTAGCGGCCCACGGAGTACATGTAAGCCTGCCTACAATAGCCAGTCCGGTGATGTAGATCTTGACTACTCACCCAGACATATACCCCATTCCCCAACTAAGTGTGCACAAAGTGAACATCCGCTAGACACCTGCAACAGGCCTGTATGTAACCATATCGACTTTAGAAACTTTGATATAAACTCCGATAATCTCACCACTGGTAGACCTAAAAGCAGCCAAACAGAACTTAGCCTCACCCAAACTATTCAAGACCTATTACCTTACAAATATTTAATCAGTGTTCCAGAAAATCCCGATCTGGAAATTATAAAAAACACTGAAAAAGTAATTGACCATATATCATCTGAAGTGTTGAAAAGACTTCAGTGTATGCAGAATGTTATTGTGTATAATATACCTGATAGTACGAACATAAAGATTGCTAAAAATACTCTGCTACAAGAATGTGGATTGTCGCAATCTTGGTGTGTAACAAGAAGATTACGTAAGGCACACACTAAAGCCTCCTGTCCCATTCTATTTCAGTTTGGTAGCACCACTGAAGCTAATCACCTCCTCAATAGTCAGTCATTACTGAGGCGTATTCCAACATTTAAAAATATTAGGATCATTCATGACAGGACCGCTATCCAGCGTCGAATCTGCAATGGAACACAAACTGATCAACCCAGCTTACGTAGCCGTGGCAGCTACAGCTCTTGTCACTGCACAAATCCTAAAATATCATACACTGCCCCCCAAAAAAACGGAGGCACGCCGGACACTGCTATTAGTCCTAAGGACAAGACCGCACATAAAGCAGCTACAACCACTCACCCTCAGCCCAGACACTCAGCTACCCCAAAATGCCAAACCACTTATGCCTCAATAGCGTCCAAGTATTACCCTAGCGGCCCTTATAAAATGCCTAAAAATGATCCTCCCAGGGAACGCGCTAACAGCTACAGACCCACAGACACCACTGTGCGAAAAAATACCAAACTCTCCGTAAAAACCCACCAACACTCCAGCACCCCTAACCCAAAACATGCACCTTCTCATAGTAATAGAATGCCCTACAACAAACATAGTGAACTGGCAACACCCACTCATCCTAACGTGAAACGACACTCGACAAGAACCACACCCACACGTGATACCCATGAGTCATATGGTGTCAACCTTGTAAGCCCCATGAACCAACACAAAACTATGCACAACAGAAACACCTCTCCTGGCAACAATAACAGGCATTCCTTCATCCCTTACCAGAAACATACAACCTCCCCAACTAACCACAATAGGACTAAAATTGCCCACCGCACACGAGGAAGCCGTAACGCTGGCCTACTTGGGAACCCACCTACAGATTCTAGGTACTATCTAAGTCAAGCCACCCAATACAACGGTTTGGTCCCCCCTAATTCGACATGCACACTATCTCATCCTTTTTTATCTCTCTCCCCCTCAACGTTACTGCTATGGGGTCTCCAAATGTTGAGGGCGACAATCCCACTATTCTGAAACCATCTATATACTCCGATTTAATGGGGAGTAGCACATCCTACTCAACTTCGATAACTGTCTCTAGTCTTGAAAACTCCTTGACTGAACCCCCTGATCATTCCCCGGACACATTACCTAATCATTCGACTCTACCTTCCACTCTTAGACATACTTCTTTCACCAAAACCACACCCGACTACCCTTCCTGCATTAACCCTACTGGTAATAAACTAAACACTCATCAATATGGAGTCAACGCTCCCAATTCTTCCTTTTCTCAGGGCAAAACAGACAAACCACTCGGTTTACATCATACCCTTCTACTAGACAAACAGTCACCGTACCTGACACTTATGTTAATCAACGCTCGATCTGTACAAAGTAAGATGACTTACCTACGCACCCTATTGCTTTTAAACAACCCCTCACTTGTTTTGATAACGGAAAGTTGGCTGTCCTCCGATACCACAGACACATTTCTACAAATAGACACTTATGAGCTCTTCCGCTGTGATCGAGTCACCAAGAAGGGTGGTGGTTGTCTCGTTTATGTATCAAAAAATTTGAGAGCGGAAACCTATAGCGACCACGTCCTCAGCAAACTTCCTGAATCGATATGGCTTACTGTGCACACTCATGAATGTAAAATACTAATCGGATGCATATATCGAGCTCCTAACACTCCTAGTTCAACTGACACTATTATAAGTGAGTCATTTGCTCAGGCTGCCTCGCTTGACTTCACATACAAAATTGTATGTGGTGATTTCAACCTTCCCACCATCAACTGGAAGACACATTCTGGCCCATTGTGCTTTGAAAGCATACTTAGGTCCTTAGACATACACGGCTGGCAACAACATGTACACCTGCCTACACGAAATCACAACATTCTTGACTTGATATTCTGTCATAGTGTCACACCAACATCAATGGTGGTTAGCGAAAAGTTTCACAACAGCGATCATAAAATAGTCCTCTGCACCCTTCCGATTCTTGCCATATGCAACAAATTAAAGACATTAAAAACGCGATTCCAATACAGAGACTATGCAAACGCTGACTGGGAAAACTTTCGATTTCTAATAAAGCACTCCGACTGGGGCAGTTTCTTTACCAGTAATAACCTCTTAGAAACATTAGAAATATTCAATATCACCACCAAATCTGCACTAGACACTACTATACCCTCTAAAATTGGTTTTAAAACAGTTACTCCCTATATAAACCAAAAGACTAGGTCTAAACTGAGAAAACTGAAAAGGATGTACTATATATCAAAAGACTTCAGTGCCCTGCACCAGATATACTCTGTACTTGACGGAGTACAAAGTCAACACAACAAGCATAAACAGGTAGAGGAACGTACTGCGCTCGCTGCTGCATCTAAAGCCCAAGCCCTATGTCGTCTCCTCACGAAACGCATAAGAAAGAACACAGACAACAACATTCACTCCTTACTGCACGATGGAGTAACGTATAATGACCAAACCGTCATATGTGAACTATTAAGTGAATGGTTTTCTCACAATGGGAATACATCTGATGCCCCAGATATCGACATAAAGTGCACCGGCAAAAACTATCTTAGTACCATAAACTTCGACATTAGGAATATACATACCGCCATTAAAACCCTTAAGCCAAATGCGAGTTCTGGTGCCGATGACATCCCTTCAATCGTTTATAAAATGTCAGGACCGGACATACAGACGCTATTACTCAAAATATACACATTATCTTTAGAGACAGGTACATATCCGGAAACCTGGAAGGTAACGTATGTTCTTCCCAAACACAAATCCGGACCGAGAAACCTGGTAGAAAACTACAGACCTATAAATATCACTCCAGTCATATCACGCATAATGGAAAAAGTGATACAAAATCAACTATCTGATCACCTACTCAAGGAAGATCTAATAGACCCGTCACAACACGGCTTCATTAGAACAAGGTCGTGCAGTACATGCCTGATAGACTTCTTTAACGAGGTTACTCGTATGCGTGACCAGAAGAAACTAGTTATTATACTATACTTCGATATTAAGAAAGCCTTTGATAAAGTACCTCATAATCTTCTAATCAACAGACTGAAGTCAGTTGGAATTATAAATCCCCTTTTGCAATGGATCAAGTCTTTTCTTACGAACAGATATCAAATAACCAAGATTAACTCTAATACATCTACACCTCGACCGATAACCAGTGGTGTTGTGCAGGGTAGTGTCTTGGGTCCATTGCTCTTTATAATCTACATCAACAATATATGCAGGTGTTTCAGCACAGGTAAGACCTACCTCTATGCCGATGACTTAAAAGTCATCTATAAAACTGACATTTGCGATTTACGCAGTACTATACAAACAATCCAACATGAACTCAACATGGTAGATGACTGGTGCAAACGCTGGAGGCTAGAGCTCAACATAGAGAAATGCGGCTGGTTATGTATAGGGGACACGTCTCTTAAAATGAAACTAACAATTAGCGATCACACACTCCCCAGACTGGCATCAGTAACTGACCTAGGGGTACATTATTCACACAGTCTTAATTTCTCTGAACACATCACAGCCAAAGCATCCAAAATGCGGAAATTGCTTGGCTTCATTCTCCGTAATTTCTATCAAAATGAATCTAAAATCCTTCTTTACAAAGTTTGTGTAAGACCTATCGTTGAATACTGCTCGTTCTTATTTTCCAACCTACGTCTATCTGATATACTAAAGGTGGAAGGAATACAACGAGACTTCACCCGCAAAGTACTTAAGACTGACTCGGTCATTGACTACAGTTCTCGATGCCAAATCTTAGGAATAGCACCCCTTTGGGAGAGAAGGCTTAGGTCTAATTTGATTCTCTACTTCAAACTACTCAAAAACCTTACTTATTCAACATGTCAGATAATTTTTGCCCGAGATTCACATGAATACGAACTTCGAAACAAAGTATCTACGGTCAAAGTTGAGAAATACAGATCAAAAACTCGGGAAAACTTCTTCCTCACCAAGTATGCAATAATATGGAACAGTCTTCCTTCCGAGACTCGCATGGCAGATGAACTACATACGTTTCTGAAACTGCTTGATCAAGCCCCTCACTGAGGATTGTGTGAGGTATGACGTATATACAAAAATAAGCTTAAATGAGCCTAACATCACAAAAGGAGGGAGGGTGGAGTTACTGACCAGCAAGCATTGATGGTGAGGGCGATAACTTCAATCCACCCATGTTTGTGGGGACAGAACATTTTGTATGTATCAGGCTCTTTATAATTGAGAATAAGACAGTCAATCTAAGATATAGATTGTCTTCCTACGCTCACCACTCAGACTCATGTTTCCAATAATATGCTGGATTAGCTATTCTACTAAGACAACCTATAACATGCTAACTCGGACTTTTACACTAGGATTGCGTGGCTGACATCGGATGGACAAAAAAAGAAAAGAAAAAAGACAATAAAAGATATAGTCACTAGTATTCTTAACACTTCACCCTCTATATACACACCCTTCTAATAAACCGCTTCCCTTGTACCAACCTTGACTTCCCTTCCTTCATGTGAGCTTACTCCAACTTGTTAAACATCACAACTCGTTGTTCTTTATTAGTACATTCTCTAATATGGAGCCTCTGACTTCACTTCACTCTAACAAGACATAATATGAATTTATTCTAATTTATTATACCTCTGTCCGTTCTACTACACAATGTTAAGCAACCTTTGGCGTTCATATCCAAGTGCCTTGCTGCTCCTCTGTTTCTTTTTTTTTCTCCTTCAGAATCTTGCTCTGAGAGCACAGCTATGAAACTTCTGACGTTTGGAGCAAACTTAACGTACGCGTCCTCTCAAGGTCATAGTTTACAGCAAGCGCTCTACGATTTCACTTTATAACAACTATAAACTTAATAAGTTGGGAAGCATTTTGCGAACCAACAAATGTTGTAATTTATAGATCATGCCTGTAAAAACGGTGTGTACCTGCACATGCAGAAATATATTATTATTATTATTATTATTATTGAGCAATTTGTCTCAAGACTTGAGGGTACATTTCATCTGGTACCATCGGCTTTTCCGTGTCCAAAGCTCAAATAACCTTTGTTTAGTCGTCCGAACCAAAGTCTCTAATGAGTGGTCGGTTTGATGACCTTGTATTTGGATCTAGTCTTTCACAATTGATTGATCACTGGGTGGTGGTCAATGTCATGCTTGTCTAGTCCTTATTAGTACAGATCGAATGCTATCGATCATGTAGCAATGTGGCCACCAGTCTAGGTGACTCGACACTGCGGGCACTATGTATTGAGATTTAGATGGTGGTTGGAGGTAGTCAACAGGAAACCCTGGACCCGGGTTTCGTGCTACTTGGCACTCGTCAGCAAGGTGTACCTGTAATCTTGAGGGAATTGGTGCTCCCTGTCGGATTCGATCTCGTGTCACCCAGCTTCACAGTCAGAGACGTTACCACTGAGCTATCCGAGCCGTGATTAACCTCCTGTAGGACTGAGATGTAATCACAATTGATTGATCACTGGGTGGTGATCAATGTCAATGCACTCACTGATCATGTTCAAAGTAAACTCATTTGTAGACCCCAGTGATTTCCTAACTTTCTCCAGGACGATGAGACAAAAAGACTTTCAAGGATATTAGAATTCTTCCAGATGGAACAACATATCAGCGAAAAACAGTGATACCTAGTTACAGACCACTAGCATCAAATTCACAAACGCATCATAATCCTAAATGTTATAATATTAAGTCCGATTCTAAGAGAACCTCTGACTTTACTTATATGCCACTACTAATGAACTCTCCTAAATCTCTGAAAGTTCAGAACCTAGAAGAAAATAACTAATGTCGGTGGTGTCCTCCCCTAAAAATGTTGACTTAGGTCTAACTCTAAGTAGTTGTATTGATAACAAATCAGACAGTACAGTTCAAATCCCTGTCAGTGCAACACCCAGCAACAGTAACTATGCAACGGCTAACAGAAAAAAATAATCAC